AGGCAACACTGTGCGACATTTTGTAACCTTTGAAGTTGAAATAAATGTTTATAAATATATAATATAAATATGTATGTGCAAGGCAGTGGCTGAAAAGCTAAATTAACTTGATAATTAACTTTTTTTCAATGATTCAATCTTATACTTTGATAAGATACATTCAGTATAGTACTTCTGATAGGGATTTTCTATATTCACACAAAGTTACAGCCACTAGGATAATTGCCCATTTAAATTGAAGGCAAACCTTGCTTACTAGTGCAATGTCACAGTTCTCCCTAAAAATCATGACTAATAAATATAATTTATATATATATATATATATATCTTATAATTTATTTACATTTATTTTCACTGTCAGGTTACAGGACTGTCCTGAGTACTACGAGCATCACAATAACAATAATATCAATACACAGAGTAATCACACTAACGTGACTGCATCGATGAGAAAATCCGTAGGAGCAGTGATAAGGGTTTGAACCTATGCGGTGGGTGTTCCCACACGCTAGCAACTAAACCATGACATGGTATAATGATTGCAACTCTTGTACCATGTCGTGGTGTAGTCGTTAGAAGCGTGTGCATGGGAATATCCACCGCATTGATTCGAACCCTCATCACTGCTCCTGTGGATTTTCTCTAATATAAATATTATAATTGCACCAACATATACATATTAATTTAACTTGTGTTAAGCAGCCTCCTGAAATATGCTACAAATATATTTTGCACTAATCACAGAATTTAACCGATTAAAAAAAAAGATGAAATAACAACATACTAATAATTTATAACCCTTGTTAATTAACTGTATGTTAAGTATTTAGCTCACTAAATAATCAAATTTAATTAAGTTAACTTTGAGTGGAAAGATGCTCTCTTGATAATACAAGGATAGGCCACTATCTTTCTGTGATAAATATTAAATCTCATTTTTTAACAGCAATATATTAATGATGTTCATATTAGACATTACAGTATATTAAATTTAAGACCTTTTCCCCTAAACCTTAGGATTGAAGACCCATTTTGATCCTTCCATATGAGTGTTGATATCCAAAATTATGACAACATACAGTACATTGTCCCTACAAAATTCATGAAAATTGAGATCATAAAAAGACACTTCACTTCTTACTGTAAATATTTCATTGCCAAACATTAGTTTTAACAAATGGGTTACATAAATTTTAACTTTTACAGATTAAGAGTACATGTATCACGGGAAGAGAGTAGCGAGGTATTTAGAAATGCACATTAACCTTTACACTGTGAAGTTAGTTAATATCAATGTCCCTTTTCCTACCATGTTTAAAAAAAAAGTAAAATTAGATCTTCAAATTAAAAATATTCACTCTTTGTTACCAAGTATTTGTACATATTGCAAGTAAACATGGTAATATAATATTCCTATTTCCAGAGATATAACAACATATCTTAAAATATTAAAAAAAAAAAAAAATAATGTTGTCTCATGTATGTTTTCTCACCAAACAATTAGCTGCCATTTGATTATTTTAGTCAGGTTGATGGAATTCCATGGAAATTAAACCATTTGCCATTGGTGGTTTGAGATGCTAGTAAGATATACAATGACCATTGTGGCACAAAACCACACATCAAAGTATTATGACCCACCAATCTTTAGGTTATGGCATTATAAAATGGTTTAGTCTATAAAAGTTTTTAATGGAAGCGTAAGGATTAAAACTGGTCATTCATTAGCTTTCTATAGAGAACTAGTGTTAGGAATTTTGATTCACAGAAGTGATAAAATGTAATAAAGGATGATAATGTGCCGGTAGAATAAAGACTGTAAATTAGTCTAAAGCACAAATTGGACATTTCTTGGCCTAAAATAATATGGACATTTCTTAAACTAGTCCACATCATTTTTTATTTGGGGAAAAGGCACATGGATTCTATGCAAATTTAGGGTGCATACAGAGCATATTCCTAATTGGTGATTACTTGACTGGACTTCATAAAACAAAATACCAATAATGAAAGGGGTAAACATGTTTTGCAAAATACACATTATCTGCCAAAAATGAATTATAGTTTCATTACAAGCATGAGATCATGCTATAAGTATATAACTGATTCACATAAAATATACATGCAAAAACAAGTAAGAGGACATTGAAATATTTTTATCTAAGTGCTTGTGCTCTCTTGACATTAACACTTACATTAATAATGTAATTCTTATAACCTGTTCTTTTTTTTCTTTTAAGAAATTGAGTTTCATTAGTTCTTTTTTTTTCCCAAGGGTTATGAACAGCTCGGATCAGTTTCAATTATTCTTGATGAACTGTTTTTTTAATATACAGTAGCTTATATATGTCAATACTGTACTTCAACACAAATCAATTGCTAATTATATGCTTACAGTTCCCTACAAAGTTAAGTGTACAATGACAGCTTCTACCACTTCTTGAGGTGAGAGGCTTCATAATTACAGTAAATATTAAAAAATCTAAACCTATTCCCACAACAAAAATTATGGATGGTATTCATCTAATTCTACCACAAAAGGCTTTTCTTCCTCAAGCAGTTGAATGGATGATTATAGGAATTGTGGAAATTGCTGAATTACGTGTAACAAGAAATCAAGATAAAAACATTAGAAGCCAGCAAAGCTATTGAGCTAATTTGGCATTTTATGAACTCTAAAAGTCTTAGTTCATGACATAAATTATAATTAATTTCACACACATTGGTGACTACATTTTTATACCCATGAATGGGTGATTTAGTTGTATCTTATGTAAGTCATAAATGTGTAGTACTGTACTTCTTATGTCTGTTACATTAACAAGGAAAGCTTGTCTAGCTGTACTGTGTTGATGTTGATAGGTGTAGGTGATACGAACATGAACAAATTTTGAAGCATTGTCTGAAAATGCTACATGGCTTTAAACATTTATAATTAAAAACATAATCTTCAGTTACCTATGTGTACAATATTTTGTTTTAATAACCAAAAAAACTTGCAAATTTAGTAGTACTCTGCATTAAAATGAGGTAAATTATTTTCTAATAAATACAGTACTAGTAAGGTGAGAGTTCAGCTGGCAATCAATTTCCAATTGTTGCTGGTTAATAGATATTCTGCAAATATACTAAACAGATCTTTGTTGCAACTAAAGCACTAATACTTTTTTGCGTTATAAAGACAACTACCGCAATAGTTAAATCAATGAACATATTACAAATTAAGCCTTTAATTACCCTATTTCATGAAATCTGCACTTGGATCACTAATATTACCATTCCAGGATTTATGCATTGAATCATTCTCTGGAGTGAACTACAAAGAAATCTAAAACATTTCAGTTCCAGCTAATAAAGCATCATTCAATAAAATATATCTATATGAAGTAAGCATACCATTTTAATCACAATGTAAATGTGTGTTCACAAAAATTATATAAAATAATTTGCAATATATATATGCCAATCATGAGCTGAAAAGTTTCACAATCATATAAAAAGTTTTATTACTTGACAAACAAACCATGTAGTTATCTTTAAAAAAATGTTTGCTTTACATTTCTAAAATGCATAAGCTAACTGTTGCAACATAGGTATAAAAAATAAGAGTATCTGCAGTCAACAAATACAGTAGACTTTTTTGTTTTTAAAGTTGAAATGACTTTCAAGTGTTCTATTATATTTTGAGATTCAGTTTTTTGCTCACATTATTGTCCTTTAGGACACTATTTTTACAAGAATACTCGGTTATTATTAAGAATAACTTTGCTGTTAAATCTTTTCATATAATATTTTATATAAATAAAATATTAATAATCTAAAAGTACATATTTTAATGTTAAAAATAATTATTTTGTGATATTATCAACTAAGCTTCAATTGATAGCCTTCACAGTATAATACTCATGATGAGAAGCTTGTCATATATGGGAAGACAATGTACACAAAAAAATGATGCCTTTCATTGGCATAAAAGGGTACCATACAATCTTTATAAGCAACCAGCACTCAAACTTCGAGTTTATCTGCTTGATATCATTTATACACATTCATTTTAAAAGAATTCATGTGTGTGTGTCCAGGTGACAAGACAATTGTATTACTTGCAGTAAAAGTTGTTGTAAAATATTTAATTTGAAAATGCTCACAGCCCATTTTTCAAATTTTAAAATTGCATTATAGTGAAGATACATTTCAAACTTTCTACTGAATATATTGCTGATGTCAATGAATTATTTCAAATGTTACTATTGTTATACTGATATTTGTTATATTTTATGTACTTAATTTTTGCTACATAAACATAAAAAAAGAGAGATGGTATTTCGCAACATTATCAGTAACAGTAAAAAGTTCATAACCCTTCAAAATGCCCCTTTCCCAGAGGATTTATATATTTAAATGTCATCCATAAAAGTTGCCATTTTTATACAGTACTTCAAAGTCTTCAGAAGCACTTAAGATAAAGTAGCAATGAATACCACTTAAAACAAAGCAACACCTTTACTATGAGGTAAATCACAGCCATTTTGATATATAGTTTTGTGATTAACTTTATATATATATATATATATATATATATATATATATATATATATATATATATATATATATATATATATATATATATATATATATATATATATATATATATATATATATATATATATATATATATATATATATATATATATATATATATATATATATATATATATATATATATATATATATATATATATATATATATATATATATATATATATATATAATAAAATTGCAGTGGGTCCTTGCTCTTAATGAAACTCGCTTTATCAAATTCCTGCATGGGCTGAACAGTTTATATTGTTCAGTGGATCAAACAAATGTCTGTGAGGGTTCTTTGCCTAAGCCACAGCCAAGCCAGCCCATTGGGACATATTATGTTAACAGCTGAGCTAATTTAAATGTACAGTATTCTACTATAAGGTGCATAAAATCTTTTGAACTCAAATACGACTATTTTTCATAATGTATTATCAAATAATAATATGAAGAAATCATATACACAAAACAGACGAAAGATAATACTATTGCACTGCAGGTTACTGCAGCTCATTCATACCTAAATGAATTTGTTCTAAATCCAAATATTGATAAGACATAACATTATTTGACAAATATCACACAATAATAACGCCAAACAGTCACAAAATTTCTAAAACAGATGTGAAAGTGTACCAAAGCCACAGTCATTCTATGCCTTTAAACAATAGAGTTGCTTGGCTGAGCAGTACACTGTACAATATTATTAAGTACAATGTACCTAAAGGCAAGTACAGTGCATTATCTACACTGTACTTGCCTTTATTGTTAACAAGATACCTTACAGCAGCACACATGGTGTTGAAGGTAATAAAAAAAAAAGTGGAAGTATATTTACGTTGAGCAGAAAATTGACGTGACACAGGTGGTGTAGGCACAACCACCTCATTGCCTGTGGTGTTACACTGGTGGTGTAAGGAAGAGTCGGCTCCCAGTCAAATGCTTCCCACCACACCTTGTCCCCCTCTTTTACACCTCACCACCCTTGGTGAGAATAGTTCTATTATAATTTTACATTTTTGGGCCCAATATATTGTATTCACAATACAGTATAGAAATCTGGCACCAAATTCTTTCCCAATTATCATTTTATATGAGAGTCAAAATGAAAAATGTGTAAATAATTAGTTATCAATTTTTATACCAAGACTGGCTGATTTTAAGTGATCCACTGATCACTTAAGTTTAACTTTGGACTTATTGGTCCATTTTGATCAGTGTAATGAGTGCACATCAAATAATTAACATTTTTACACAAAATTGTTCAAAAATTATTTTTCTATCATTTGCAATAGTAAAATGAAGACTGCATAATTGTTTTAAGTCAGCGCCAAAGGTGTGTTAGGATGGATTTGTACTTACCCAAGTGTACTTGAATTCCAATACACTACTCTCTTGGTAAGGGAAGTAGCAAACATGTATACTATCTGCACTACAGGGGTTGCAGGTCTTCACATTTCTCCACCCCAACTTCCCCCTAAAAATGGCCTGGGGGGTTGTCAGAAACCCAATGGCTCAAACAAAATTCTCTGTGAAACAAATTGAATTTGCCCCGTATTATTTGTTCGAGCAAGTTTGTGTGTTAGTGTATATATGTATGTATGTGTGTGTGTGTGTATATATATATATGTATAATATATATTACAGTATACACAAATACTCATGATGTGCATGCACAATCATGCCATGCATGCATGTTTAATTAAAAAATTAGATGTCACATTTGAACAAAATAATTGACGAGTATTTCAACACTAGGATGCATTGACAATTGCTATTCCAAAAGCATTAATTACGGTACCAAATACATAACTGAAATATCAAATAGAGTTTTTCTTGCAAGGCTACTCAAATAGCTTAGTACACATGATAATTTAAAGTCACTGTTAGATTTATTATTTGACAAGGACTGATTTTAGAGTAGGTCCTACAAAAGATATACGTGGATATTTTATACAGTATATGTAGATGTTTATCATTTTGATCCAAATAGTTTATAATGAATGAGTAACTATCATTTTAGCCAAATAAACACACTATGAGAAAATGTTGCGCATCTTGACTCATAACTAGCATCCTTCCTAAGTATTTTAACTGTTACCATTATTTAACAACCTTAAGGCAGTTTCATGATTTATGGGGTGAATGTGTCATTTGTCATTACAAAGGAGAGCCAGCTCCAAATATTTAGTTATATCACATATGACACCTCTTTAAACTTAATTATGATTGAAATAAATATTATTTTAATTATTTTTAATTGACCTAACCCAGTAGGAGCAAAAATATATGAATATGCAGCAAGACAATCTAACATAAGCAAAAATTCTTAATGCCATGATAAAAAAAAAAACAGTAAAAGCCCTGTACTAGGGCAAAATTACAACCTTAATTTGCTCCCTACTAACGTAACAAAAACTTTTCATTTCTTTTCATTCATAATTATTTCAAGAGTGAATAAACATACTTCTGGGAAATGTTAGTAGATTGTAGATGGCCTCTCCTGTTCTGTTACCGAGAAGTGCAGCTTATTGTTCAAATGTATTAGAGATTTCAGATGTCTTCACAATCATCTAAGAGACCCCTTTTATCTTCATATCTGTTGTGTTTCTCTGCAGCCTTGTATCCTTTCCCCTCTCGTTTCACAGAGGTATAGCAAGGCTGTTGAAAAAAAATTATTTATAAAAGACAGTCAAGCCTGGCTGTTTAAAACATTTAATTGATATAAACTAAACACGGTCCCTAAAATACGTTTCAATTCCTTACTTCTGTATTTTTAAAAGGTAAAATAATCTTTTTACCAAGAAAAAAAAAAAGAGGCTAGGCCTCTGTTCACCTAGCAGTAAATAGTACCCAGAGTTAGACAATAATTCGACTTGGGGGGGAAAACGGGAACCTCAGTACATGCCCAAAGCATATATGTACATAGATTTCCTACCCCCCAATAACAGGAATTATATATGTTAAATGCAACTTCAGTATCTTACACTGATAAATAATAATTCAGTATCTAACATTTGAATATATATCCCATATACAGTACAATGGGCATCACCTCTATTTCAAATATTCAGTGCTTGCCTGCATAACTATAGTATTTAGCAACATTTCTGTTTTAATTCATTTATATTTTGTGTTGTACAGTACATCAATTTTGCTTGGTTAAGGAGTTATCCTATTAGACATGACGTTAATATTTGAGATCTCAAAGTTGGGGAGTCAGGTTTGGTTCTGTCATGAAACGGCAATAAGCTGAGCTCATTGCTGTTTCATCATTGCTGGTCATCAGCAAAATTCCTGCTGACACGTTAAAGATGCAGGAAAAAACAAAGTCTGAGCACAGAAGACTTAAGAAAGTTCCTGGATCTTACGTGCTGTAAGATAAACAGGAGAAGCAGCAGCTGACACTTTATGAAGATACAAGATTCAAGAATCCATCTATTAGGGCCTGTCTGAGACCCTAATGGATGGCTATTTTCCATAGCAGCTGGTAAAAAGCCTGGACTATCTGCAGCAGATGAATACTTAGAAATTTCAAGGAAAGATGTATATATGTAATACAAACATCCAAAGAGAATGTAACCACTCATTAAAAGTTGTCGAACAATAACCCATGAGAAGGTTCATTTGTCCAGCAAAACATAAAATGCTCAGACCTATACTCATAAAACTGTTGGGTATTATTATAGACAGATCATGCATGATGGATTATAATATAAACAATACTTAAATGAAAATGGGCAAATGTTGTGTTCGATTTACAGATAGCAAGTAATGACCCACTTAGTGATGACAAATGGTGATTTTTTATTATTTTTTTTTTTAAATTGTAAGTAAAATTAACGGTCTCGAGCACATTAAGGCATAATTTTCAGTGCTATGTAAGCAATTGCTGTTATTTCATAACCGGTGATTTATAACAGTAAAGCTACTGGTATCTAACCATTATTAGAATTTTAAGTAATTTATCTGGCCATTTCTGAAGTTAAGGGTTTTCTGCAGCACTCCAAGAGTCTTCCTAATCTTTTCCTTTTTTTATAATCCTCTTAAATTCTTACTCTCTGAATAGATTTGTGTCATCTGCAAAAAAATGACAGTAATTTCCTCTGGTGGGTCATTTATATAAATTAGAAAGAGCAATCATCCTGAGACAAATCCATGAGGAATTAGCTTCCCAATCCTTTCCAGTACAGTAATTTTTCATCCAGTATCATTTTTGTTACCCATGCTTGTCTCTCCATCTTGTGCATTACTTGTTTGTGAGGCACAGTATTAAAAGCTTTTTGGCAGATTATCCATCCTTCATTCATGTTGCATTTGGTGACATTGTCACAGAATTTTACGAAGTTTGTCAGGCATGATTTTTCCCGTCTCATTAGATTTTCATCACTATTACATCATTTGCTCTTCAAAAGGGTTCCTCTATTCTTTAGAAGATTATTTTTCCATAAATTTTAAGGGGATGCATGTTAGTGACAATGATCTATAATTTTGTGCTTGCTGTCTGTCTCCTTTCTTGAGTACCGGAACTACATTTGTTTTTTGGCAAATTTCAGGGAGCTGTACGATCTCCAATGTTGTGGTGAAGTTAGTGGATAACACTAATGCTCTAGTTAGTGGATAACACAACCCCTACAGTCTTCGTCAGTAATCATGGTGATAACTGGTTCAGTCCTGCTATTTTGTTACATCTAGTTCCTCTGGGTGTCTTTTCACCTCTTCTACTGTGATTTATATTATGTATAGTGTTGCTTCAGGTCATAGCAACAGTTCCTGTGGCACAGTGGTAAGACACTTGCCACATGCTTCATGAGCGATTTGGCCTGGGTCTGTAGCCTGGCCAGGGAGGATTGACTTGGAGACAATCCTTAACTATACGCCTCTGTTCACCCAGCAGTGATTGGGTACATAGTTGTTAAACGATTTGGTGGGTCTTATTCCAGGGAAAATTAAGATTAAGGACTTGCCCGAAATATTATGCATGCTAGTGGCTTTACAAGACTGTAAGAACTCTTGTATATACAAATAAAAAGAAGAGTGTGTTTTTATCTGTCTTTGGACTCAAATCTAGTTTTGGTTTGTAGATCTTGGAATCTCTTGTCGAGTTCCTCACCCACTTTGTTGTTCTCCACGAGTGTTCCTTCGTGTCTCTGCAGTCCGATCACAATGTCTCATACTATCGTTTTATCCATACTTAACTATGCAATAGCTTTGTCCTTTATGCAGATGATGAGTCACAATAACATGGCTGAAATATGTTGACCAAACCACACACTAGAAATTGAAGAGACGACGACGTTTCGGTCCGTCCTGGACCATTATCAAGTCGATTGTGATGAGATGAGGGAGGCAAGGGCATTAAGTAGGCAATAGAGAGGTGAGGAGATGAAAAACTTCGAGGAAGATAAGAGCAAGGCAAGGAAGATAAAGAGCAAGGTAAAGTTTGTCCTTTACCGTTGCCATGTTTTAAAACTACTGTACTGCTCCACTGCCATCCTGACTCTGGTATGCTCATTCCTAGCTATTAGGTAGCAGCAGTTACAGAGGGAGTAAATGTGTTGTTCATATATGGAAACTTATTTAGAACATTGTACACCTCATCTTATAAAGTGGCAAGATGCTGCTGGGATGATTAACTTGACTGTGGTGGTGGTTCTCAAAGATTCTTTGTTGTGCAAGATATGGTGAATAGACTAGAGTAATTTTTCACATCTTCAGCTTGTATTTTCTAATGTCTCCATTATTGTTACCAGACTGGTGCTTAATAAACCCATGAACATGGGAAATGAGGAAATAATGATGTAAATTTATATATACTTGAAATTATAGATGTGTAATTATCTAAGTGTAGTTACACGATAAGAGCTGTGCTCATGGTGTACCATCTTCCCTATAATCTTTGTCTTATGACATGTGAGTGAGTTAGTAAGTATACCAATAAGCTTAATGACTTACAGTTTCACACATAGTCATCTGACAACAATCTTCAATATTGATGCTCACACCATCACTACTGGACAACTCTGGGCATGGTGATGTACCAATAAATCCGGATTTATTTCCAGAACCATATCGCTTCTTAGGGCCAAATCGTTTCACTTGTCGAATGAGTTGTGCAGGCACTGCTGTGATGGAGGAATATTCAAAATAAGCACTACTGTATAGATTGCACCATTTGTACAGATATAATAGGAATATAATTTTAAATCAAGGTACAGAAAACCCTTAATTTACATGGAAAATGTAATTTTGATTATATGGCCAAAGGCTTTGGTAAGGACTGAGAAAGTTGGATAGAAAGGTGGTAAATTGGAGGATTATAGTATAATAGAATGATGGGTGGAGGTAAATATTAGTGGTCCATTTACAATGAGTTTGTATATGCTGGCAATGCTGTAATGTGGAGTATGGCGGTTGGTAAGTTGCATAGTGCCTTCTCAAAATGGCATGGAGAGGTTGCTGGCATTATGGTTAAACTGGCTTCAGTCCTTTGGATTGCCAGCATTATAATAATAAGTATTATAATAAGAGTTATGAATTTGATGAAGGGCTCGCTGTCAATTGCCTCGAATATACAGTACTTGTATAGAAGGATAGCAGATTTGCAAGATAAGATCATTTTGAGAGTCCTTTATCAGGCCATATGTGCTAATTTGTTTTCTTATTGAATTCACTATTATAACCTCAAGGAAATTTCACACTATGAACATCAAACTAATCAGATTGTATTCCAAAGCTAGGGAACTGTATACCTAGAATACCAGGACCACATATTGTTCTCTCAGAACTTTGCTCATTTTTTTATTCCTTTTGGTGTACACATGTCTTCTTGTAAGTAAGAGGCCTATACTTAAAGAGGTTTGTGAAAGTTTGCCCATCTTTGTGGGGACGGCAGTGACCCATTTAGTGTTTTCTATTCTTCCTTTTTTATATGTAAAGTTGTCTGCATTCTCTTTGTAAGTTGAACCTATTTCTTATCTGGCTCAGAGAGAGATTTTATATGATTCTATACAGCATTTAATATATCTCTACAATGTGCTGGAGTTTGAAGGTTCAACACTATTTCTCAGGATATGTTTGATAATTTAGATTACATTATTTTGTCTTGGTCAATGCCCCAATCATTGAAATTAACGGGAAAAGGGAATGTGGGGTGTTTTGGGGTGGATGATCTTGGCAGTGCTAAATGGTATATGTTGTAAACTAAAGATAAGTTATCACCAGTGCCCTGCAAGGAATTTTGACACATAGGGTAATTACTGTACCAGTGGTCTACAGAATAAAATATTGGGTCTTTTAGTTTCCAAGACAATCATATTCACCTTGTTTATGATTAATGGCTGTGGGTGATGATGGTTTGCATCTTTCTGGGCTTCTCTTGCAAAAATACTTGACAAAAAGGAAGACTGTAGAAAACATAAACAATGCGCAGAACACAGCCAGCACCATTATGATTATAAGTAACTTTGTTTCATTGCGCCTGCAAAAAATAAAATTGATACATTATTGTATAATGAATTATTGTAATTTTCTGCTACATTAAACAATAAAATAACATACACCCCACTGACATTAGGGAAAATATTACTATCATTAACCACTTTAACTACAATATTTACAAATTTTGCTTATTTGTATACAGTTACTAAAGTAGTTTAACCCAGAATGGTAAAATTTAAATGTTAGCTGAAAAATGACAAATAAAAGTATGGATTTCGGTAATGTATGGAAGCCCTTTTCCGAGCAGAATCATTCAGTTGTTTCCCGTTAAAATCCGCTGCGTCTTATGACCAGAATCGTGGACAGTTTAGTCAGGATGACATACTGGCACCGTTTCACTAAATGAAACTTTTTGAACATCTCTGCTATCATTAAAGGTATAAAGGAGTCAATTGAGAAAATCTCAACTCAGAAAAGAAGGACCAACAGTTTCATTCATAAAAAATAAAAAAACATTACAAAATGAGGGCTATCGCTAATTTCTCATTTGCTTGCCTTGTCCACCTATGCTGATCACTACCATGCAATGAAAGCGCACACTTCTTTGTTACCACACATGGACCAGGATTCATAAAGCATTTATAAATTCACATTTGAAACCTGTACTTCTTTCAACAATCATGGCAGCTATGTTTACATTTATTAAAACAGTTTACAAGCCTATTATTAAGGTTATTATTGTTATATTGCTTTATGCTCTGGTGAGGACACTCCAGCCTCAGCAACTCAAAACACGACAAGTCTCCCAAGACTGCAAGATGCCTACTACTATTGTTATACATAATCTAATATTGCTTCAGTGCTCATAACTTTTTAATAAATGTAAACAAAGCCACCATGATTGAGAAAAGATGTACAGGCTTCATAAGTGGATTGACTTGAAGAACGCTTGAAGAAACCTAGCCCTGACATGCATTTTCCTTGGACATTTTCATTGCCATTCATGTATTGTTCTGTTTATGATGGGTCAAAATCTACATACATATGGCTTTGGATTCTCCATTATTATTCCTCATCAAACCTTTATGTGCCACCTCCTCCCCGAGACTAGTATTTTTACTGCGGACACTTTCTGTGGGAGCACCTTGGAGGCTCTTTGAAGCTATCTTTGGGAGCACCTTGGAGGCTCTTTGAAGCTATCTTTGGGAGCACCTTGGAGGCTCTTTAAAGCTACCTTTGGGAGCACCTTGGAGGCTCTTTGAAGCTATCTTTGGGAGCACCTTGGAGGCTCTTTGAAGCTATCTCAGTGAGATAGCTTCAAGGATTTTTTTTTTTAATTTTGATAGAAAATGACTGTCTTCTGGTGTGCAGAACAAGATCATTGTGTTGCATTTCATGGGCGAATAATTATCATAAGGCCAGTACACATATTTATGATATAACATTGATTTGTTCACCAATGATATCATAGATATCAGGCAAAACAAATATTGTATAATAAGCAATTTTCTATATTTTTTTATTTTTAAATTTAGTGTTGGATGAAGGTTGGACACTATAGATTTGTATTTATCATAGCTGAGACACCTCTATTCAGGTACTAATGTTGTCGCAAACTTTTGTACGTTCACAAATTTCTATTCAGAATTATTATGAAGGTATTTCACTACACTACATAAAAGTATTTGTGTGTATGTCTGATACCATACTACTTGTGTAAAGGAGGAATGTATATGTTTATCTCTCAGAATGTTCGGTAATATGTTTATTGTTTGTCATGTGTATCTATGTATGTATTAACACGATGTACTGAACGGGGTGAGAATAGCTTGAGCTACCTCATCCCTTTGTGTGTATTTTACCTCAATAAACTTATTTCAATTTCAATTTCACTACTCTACTCTCCTGATAAAATAAGTAACAAACTGGCCAGAGAGGGGGGAAAAGGACAAGGACATTATGGATTAAACAAAATCCATGATGCAACAAACCTGTTTTCCCTTTATAGTTCATTCGAGCCAATTAACATTACTAAGTACAGTATTTGTATTGAGGAACAAAATGTGCAAAAAGAATTTATGGATTGCTTCAGTTAGCATTCCTAAGTTAGAAGAGTGATAAGGAAGATATCCTTATCACTTTTATCACAAAATATAGGAAGCCAAATATAATTCATTAAAACATTAAAAAACTAAGAGAAAACATTATTCACTGAAAAGGGAATGTAAAAATAGAAAATAGGAAATAAACCATCAGGTGGTAATGCAGTGTGAATAAAACCATAGGAAAGAATGCCTAAAATCATAGAATAATTGTTTCTTTTTTACTTACATTTCTGCTTGAACCATCATTTTGTTTTCTTGAAGAGATGTGGCAAAACTGTGAGGAGTTTCCTCTTCAGTTCCAAGCTGCACTGATTCCGAGTCATTCTTCATAACAATCTGATCTGTTGTCATTTCTGTTTCCCCTTGCAGTGAATCCTTTAATCTTGAAACTGTTAACACTGAGCTTACACTGGTCTCCTTCGTAATTTCCTCTGTGGCAGATTCTAAATGTGGAGGTTTGGTGACCGGGTTTTTTATCTCAGGTTCTTGGGCTTTCATATCTAATTTTCCCTGGAAACTCTTCTCTCCTTTACATAAATCCATAGTAAATTTTTTTGCAGGATTACTTAACAAGGAAAGACCATAAGCACCATGATGCCAACCAAAGGCAGTTTTAATGGCAGGAGTATGAACTAGCTTTACAACATCACTACGGTTGTTTAACGATGCCCGCATGATACCCTGTCGGGCCCAATCTGCCCAGTAAATGTATTCTTCATCAACTGCTAAAGAAAATGGAAAACAGTTTGTCAAGTTCAACAGCTCATGGTATTCCATTTCTCTTGTAGGAGTACTGACAATGCGACAGTTGCTTTCAGTATAGTTATTTCCAATGGTCTCTCCCCAAATGAGTGCTCCTCGTGTGACATCATAGGTTAAGCCCTGCAAATAAAGTAAAAATCATGTAAATGACAAAGTAGTACAGCAAGTCTATATATAACTATAAAATAAACTATAAAAAACTATAAAAAAAAACTATTTAACTATTAAAAAAAGTGCTGAATTCAAATAAATTATGCAACTTCTTCAAATCATAGATACTGTATTTAAAAAACAATACTGTATTTACATGACTACAGTATTATAAATGACATCTTAATCATATGACTGCAAGACAATTCTGCTTACAATCAGTGTGCGCAAAAGAAGCTAATGTACTAGAATGAGCAATATGGTATAAAATACCTTACCTGATAATAAATATTGTTTTCATTATCCTGCTGAATGATCTTGTGTATATTTTCACTCAAATCAACCATCTGTATAGTGCTTGGTACTCTTCCCAGTTTGTTTATATTGCTCCAATACAACAATCTGTAATAAAATATATAATTGGTTTAGTCTCGTAAGTCTCATCGGGGTCTCGTCTGTTACAAATGACACTCTAGTTGACCAGATTGAGCTTATTGATGCAAATCCAAATTATGCAAGCAATAGGTATCCAGATGAATGGCAATTTACAGTATTTGTCTGCAATTTGGCTCCAAATCCAACAATTCTGACAACTCCCATGAAGCAACAAGATGTTGAGTCTGAACACACAATTCAGCCCTCCAGTCTATGACACTAGGATGAGAAGAATGGGTTCCCAACTACATCTATTATTCAAGAATGTGAAATACTTAGTGATGATGATCCATCTTGGAGCCGGTCGGCCGAGCGGACAGCACGCGGGACTTGTAATCCTGTGGTCCTGGGTTCGATCCCAGGCGCCGGCGAGAAACAATGGGCAGAGTTTCTTTCACCCTATGCCCCTGTTACCTAGCAGTAAATTAGGTACCTGGGTGTTAGTCAGCTGTCACGGGCTGCTTCCTGGGGTTGGAGGCCTGGTCAAGGACCGGGCCGCGGGGACACTAAAAGCCCCAAAATCATCTCAAGATAACCTCAAGATATACTCCTTCAAGACCCAGAAAATCTGCCCAGGTTCCAAGGTTTCCTGACCATTATGGATAGGATTAAACAAATAATAATTCATTGTGTCAGGAGATAGGCAGCTAATGTATTCATACACATTAAACTTATATCGAGTAATGGTCTTGTGGGATCATGCCTACCTGCTTGGCACTTTTAGTCCTGAGAACTGCCTCAGGTGTACATTTCTCTTCTCTACAACATTCACGACTTGTTGGACAAGGCTGTACTCAAAGCAAAGCCATCCTTGCAGAAGGTGTTCAGCCTCTTCTCTATTCACAAGCTAGATACTCAAGAGCCTCGCTTTATTCTGGACCACTCTGAATTCTGAATGATCTTAATGGATTCATTCCATGCCCTGCATTTTAGATGCTTACTATGTACCAGGTTTGACAGGTGGCCTCAAGAAATCTTGGATGGTTCCCCTAGATCTTTGGGACCATATTAGAATGTTCCCATTCACCCAGAGATCAGGAATTGGCTGAGGCCCAGTGTGGAGCACCTTTCATACCACTTTTTGGCTCATCTAGTTAGTCTGAACCCCTAGTTCCCAGAATCTTCACCAGAATTACTTATTTTTACCTGATTTACCTGAGGCACCACCCTAGTGGCCTTGACAAGGACAGAAAGTCGGCAGCTTGTCGAGGGTCCCCCCCTCATTTGCCTTGATGATTTTTTCCAGCTATATTTTTAAATTCAACACAGTTTTGGCAGTTACAGCTTCGGCAGGTAGGCGGTTAATAACCTTGTGGGTAAAAAAGCATTTACTATTCTCAGTCCTACATTGTGGCTTGTTGAGCTTGAAACCATTGCTCCTTGTTTGTGTTACATCTGACCTTCCGAAGAAAATATCCAGATCAACATACAGTACTCTAACTTGTTCAGTATTTAAAAAGTTTCAATGAGATCCTCCCTGTCATGCCTGGTTTGTAGTGTTGCTAGTCCTGTGTCCTTCAAGCATACCTGATACGAGAGATGACTTTGCTCTGGAATGACTTTTGTTGCCTGGTGTTGCACTTTCTCCAGAGCAGCTATGTCCTTCTGAAAATGACGTCTCCATGCTTGGATATAGTAATCTAAATGAGAGTGCACCAGAGATTTACAGTCGAACCATTACCTTCTTCTTTTAACTTGTAGTCAAAAGTACGCTTGATTATCCCAAGAATTTGGTTAGCTTTTCTGACTGCTGCACCCACTTGTTATGCAACTTTTAATGAGTGATGGATATTGACTCCAAGTTCCCTTTCTTCATCAATCTGTAATGTAATGCTATTAATTTGGTAGTCATTGCACGAGTTGTTTTGCCCCACATGCAGGGTCTTGCATTTGTCGATATTAAAGAGCATTTGCCAGTCTTCTGACCATTTGTGGAGTTCATATAGATCTCTCTGTAAGACTTCAATATCATTATCATTTCCCACTTTATCATAAAAGTGTGAGGATCCATGTTCTGGCCATCCTTAACAAGTGGCTGGTGAGGGTCTCATCATTTGGTTTATCTTAGGGATCTGGCTTTTTCTTCCAGTTGGTGCACTTTGGGTTTCTGGTCAACTGGTAGAAGTTCCAGTTGGTGCCTTCTCAGGTTCTGCCCTGGTTGGACTAGTCTCAAGATATAGCATGGAAATGAAAAACAAACAGTAGTTGCTATGGGGTTATACATAATTTTCTTTCATAGTGCATCTTTCAATATACAACTAGTCATTTATTCCTATGGCACCATTTATACTCACCATCATTCTAAGGGTTTATTCCTATTTTATCATTGAAGTCTCCAAGGCATAATTATTCTACAATTTTTTTTTATAACATACAGAGCTTATCACTCACACCAAGCTCACTTTCTAGGTACAGTACCCCAAAATTAATTATTCTTAATTCTTTCTTCTGTTATTACACAGAGCATCTGATTTCTCAATAGTTACCCTTAGCCTGGCAAATTTTAATTTTATACACAAGCACCAGTAACATGAGACCATCATTCAATGCTCCATAATACTCTTCATTCTTCAACCCTTCATCTGCTTGTCACAACCAGGGGTTGTTTTATCGATGGTGCACACCGTAACCAAGGTTGTTTCATTGATACTGCGCACCATACTGTATCCAGGGTTGCTTTTAGATCTAGCATAAGACTTTAAAACTCCTGTGGGTATATGGGTCTCAAATCCTGTTCTACAGGGCTCCAGTAAACAAAAGCCATCTTGGAAAAAAATCATCTGCATCTCTCCTGGCTATGAGTCTCATTACTAAGAGCGACCAAGGCTGATGCATGCAGCAGGAATTCCCAGCACCGCTGTGTAGCTAGGAGCCACAGCACCACATAATAATAATGAATAAAATAAGTAACAGCAATTATTTTGTTTTGATAGTGTCACAGATGATCCTGTGATGAGGACTATGTACAACATTCATATATCAGTGAACACAATGCTAGTTATGATGATCACAGCATGAGGCAGATAGCTACAACACAGCCATTGTTTAATACATGTCATATCATGTCATTATATGTACAAAGACTATCATTTTGAAATCCAGCACATTTAGGTCATATTATTCAAAACCAATTCATGGATAAGAACAGTTCTGAGGCAGAGTCACATAAATTAATAAGACACCTTGCACTAACCACAACTAGTTTTAATTGTATAATAAAATCTAAGATACTCACTGATTACAGTAATCAACTGTAACCCCATGAGGTCCAGTAACATTTCCATGTCTTTCCAAAAGTTTGGGCTCTAATGAATTTGTTTCTTTTAGCTCACTTGGAATTAAAGTCTTGAAAATACCATGATTGGTGCTGTCAGTCCAGTATAGCTGATGTGATACAGGATCATACGACATACCTTCCATTACTATTAGACTAGAATCTGTAAAAGAGATTTATTTTTATTACATACACCAGTAATAGGAATTTGTAATTACAAGTATCAGAGTCCTAACTGAAAAGGATCTATGTTAAAAATAATTTTACCATGCTGTAAATTTAAACAGAACTATAAGCATTACAGATATCTCTCTTTTACAAAACTATTTGACTAAGCAAAAGTTAAGAATGTCTAAACATAGAAAATGTATTTCATGGAACATTTACAGATACTGTACAGCACTCCAATGCATACTACAGTATTACCTAAGTGATGTATTTAAAAAAAAAAAAGTTATTTGTATAACTCTCTTTTGTCTTTTTCTAACTTGTGCACTTGCTCTATCTTTTGGAATACAGATGACATACTGTACAAAATATATTATTAGCTTTTTTAATTTGCAGAATAGCTACATACAATATACACAAAAATAAACACTAATCCCAATCTGCAACACACTCTTAAAATTAATGAAAAAGTGTCGGATGTTCAGGAAGCAGATGACTGTCAACAGTGTAGACAGAGTCACAATAACGTGGCTGAAGATATGATGACCAAACCACACATCAGAAAGTGAAGAAATTACAACATTTCAGTCCGTTCTTGACCATTATCACACGGCTTGATAATGGTCCAGGATGGACCGAAATGCCGTTGTTTCTTGACTTTTTGATGTGTGGTTTGATCATCAGTCAACAATAAGCCTTCACCCATATTGTAATAAATTTCCATGAAATACAGGTTTAAATGACTGCTTGATTGATCTTCTTTGCCATTTTTCTATTGCTTTATTTTTTTTGGCTCCTCCCCCCCCCCCACCCCCCAAGAACCATTTTGGTCTCTAAATTGGGTTTTGATGTTCCTCTCCTCTCCTCTCCTTGTTTTAGTATGTCTTTTTGTCCGAGACATCTTTTTTTTAAGGCTGTCTCTTTGCTTCTGGTTGTAGGGTCGGGGAGCTTCATGGATTTGTCTGGAAGCAGTGTTTTGGTAGCAGTTCTCCTACAGCTCCAACTGTCACTGTTGTGTCTCTTTATGAAAGTGTCTGTCGGTTTCTAGAGGGGTTCCTTCAATCACTGAGGCTCAATTGCTCTGGCCAGGGGTTCTTCAAGTACTGTACCATATTGTGATCGGTGACGGCAGTTTGTCAATCTCTTCTGGGAATCGGGTGGTTGCCTTGTTTGTGGGTAATTGTGTTGTTTGTATCTCTGGTGTCATTTGTGTCACGTTCTTAGGTTCGATTCTCATAGGTGGTTTGCAGGTGGTCAACTTTAGCTAGCCTTCTGCTTGCCCGTGGGCCCATGTCATCTGCACGTTTACATTGTTCTCCATTTTCTTCTCTTATGTCTTGGATAGTGTTTGGGCCTGTGGAGTCTGTCAATTTATATGTGTTTTCACGGCATGATACCTTGTCCTTGTTTCCAGGTTGCCCCTTCGGTGGTTACTGGTGTCCCCTCTTCATCCCACAGTAAGGCCCTACTGTTTTATTTCTCCATGGTGTTTAATTCAGACATTTGTTTTAGTACACTATTTTCAATGTCATAGGTAATGAAACACCTATATTAATTTCTACTCCCAGTTAGCTCCAGACTGCCTTTGCAAGCATGTCAACAGTATCATGATACAACATAGGCTTGTTTTGTTTTACTGTATCTGACTTTCTGGTCAAACAGATCTTTGATCCTCAAGTTACCCCCCCCCCCCCTCAATTAAAGAATGCCATATTCCATTCCCAACTCTCGGTAGGTCGGCATGATTCTCAGAGGTCTGGCACAATCCTTAGGCTTGGCAGTATCAATGCATAAGCATCAAGGAACTATTATGTGAATATATAACAAAATTTCATTATACCCATACCTCTTAGCTCCAATTTAAACATTTTATGTTTCAAGTCTATATTATAGGGGTATTCAATATTCAGAATGAAAGCTTGTTGGTATAACGAGAAAAATATTAATGTGACAAAATCATAATTTAAGCTTAATGGGAATACAAAATATATAAGAGCTTACAACAAATGCCCGAAACGCTTTGCGTAATAGTGGCTTTAGGCATTGTATGTACTAGCTCTATCTATAAAGCCAACAAACTTTGTAAAATCTCTTTATGTATGTACCTTACCTAAATAAAAATTATTATTATTATTATTAATTATTAGTATTATTATAAATTGAAACATAAATAAAGACACTTACTTTTGAGTACTGAATGCATGGCCTTCACATTAAAGTCAGAATCAAGTGTAAGTGAAAAAATCTTGGTATCCTCATGCACTGCATCAGCCACAAAAAGCCGATTATTCTCGATGTCTTGAGTTAGACCCACTGGGTATGACATGCCCTTTGGAAGGGGAAGAACATGTTTGTTCCATTGGAGAGGCAATTCAGGGGTAATTTTGTCTACATCCCGAAGTAAGAGAATGTCATGTTTGTACACAGCTACCAAATCTGGAAGAGATAAATTATTTTAATAGCAGGGATTCCAATTGGAGCTGTGTGTAACAGCACTGTTGACAGACTTCAACAACACTTCATGTGTACCAGTTAGGGCACTCAATACTAGCATTAAGGCACATTCCTATACAGTACCTTAGTACTTTATAGACTTCCATGTGATAGCCTCCATACCTTTCTGAGACTAACAAGTCAAGGACTGGATTAATCAGATCACATCACATTTACTGCCCCGGTCAACATTAACTAGGTAGCAATTCGCTTCATCTTATTCTACATTGTTATATATTCTATAGCTTCATCTAATTTATACCCACTTCCCTTTTACCTCTGAAAATGTTAAACACTTCAATGAAATGCATTTTTGCATCAGGTCTATACAATTGTAAAATTAACTTTAGGAAGTTCAGCTTTTAAACTTACTTCCCAAGTAAAGAATGCAATAAATATAGAGAAGAATCATGCTAGAAACATTTCTCTAACTCTTTCAAGTCACATTCAATAACACATATAAAGACGAAAGACTTGCAGTGACTTCAGTACCACCTATAAAATGGTGGAGATCAGGGAAAATGGGAGAGTCACACCTGTGGAGGGTACTAATTCAGGGTATTGTGGAGGGTACTAATCCTGGGTAACACACAACTAGACTATGGCATACCATCCACATGCAAACAGGATGGTTAAACAATTCCACCACCAAGTGAAGGCATAACCAGAACTGTCTGCTGTATATCGTCTCGGACACTGAACGACTGTTACAGCTGAAGGAAGCTTTCGAGCAAAACTCTGTTTTAAACTTAACTTATGAGATGGAGAGGGAGGGGTGTAACAAAAAGGAGGCCTGGTCGAGGACTGGGCCGCGGGAACACTAAGCCCCAAAATCATCTCAAGATAACCTCAAGATATATACAGAGTATATATATATATATATATATATATATATATATATATATATATATATATATATATATATATATATATATATATATATATATATATATAATATAATGTGTGTGTGTTTACAAGACTGTAAACACATCACACTATGTACTCTTACAAACCCAATGTACCTTCTTGTATATATATAAATAAATAAAATAAATAAATATGAATATACTTACTAGAGGGGAGTAGCCA